GGGGGGAAAGAGGGGAGAGAGGCCAGGCGCTGAGTGTTTGTATGTTTGCCAGGAGCTTGGCATTTTCACCTCCTGGCTGGGGGGAAAAACAAACAAAAAAACCCAATAAATACTGGACATTTAGGTGTCCGGTATTCTCTGAATTTTTTTTACCGGACAGGAGGCGAAAATACCAGACTGTCCGGGTAAATACCAGACACCTGGCAAACCTAGTGCCGGACCAGGGATGCCCAACCTGTACTTAGTTTTTCCCTCACCAGTAATGCAACAAGATTTGAATTTTTTCCCCATAAACTGTAGACGCTATGCCGTAAGTGTCTCAGTGATAGTGGATTAATCTAAAATACATTTCTGTACTCACAATGATTCCTGGGTAATATCCTCCAACAGTAACATTTTCAGTTCTTGTGGTAGCTGCAAGCCCTATCGTCAGGATGAAGACAGACACTACCAGCAGAGAAACTGTGAACCAAAGAGAAGTCTTCTTTCGTTTTGCAAATTGCCCTGTTGGGGGAAACATATGAAGTAGCTTTTCACTGAAATCTTGGCGGTATAAGTGTGAAGTAAGTTGTCATTCTATCTTTGTCATTTTTAACCCTTTCTTCCACCAAGGGATAAGGCTTTGCAGGAGAGACAGGCTCTTAAGTTATATAAAAATTAGCTGGAGCTTAGTAGACTAATACATTTTACACAAGTACAAGATGGTGTTTTACTAAGCGGAAGTGACGATAATTTTTTCAGTTATCTGAGGTAAATCTTGTAATGAAGTTGTTATTCACATCTGTAATAGAAATCCTGCAGACCTTAAACAATGCTTACCTAAGCAAAACTCCCATTGGATCTATGCGGACAACACATAAATACATACATTTTAAAGAAGATTAACAGAAGCATGGCTCTGTTATCATGAAAAAAAATTGTTCTTTGTATTCATCAGGTAAGCAAACTAATCAGGACCTTTTGAAGTAAAGCTATCATGCAGTTAATGGATAGTAATATATCATACTTACACTCTTATTTAACAAGAACTGTTCTGTAAAATGTGTTTAATTTCATCTTGATTTGGATTCAGGTACTCCCCCCCCGCCCAGGAGTGAAAGATTACAGCCTGCTCTGAGGAATTTAAGCTTATTATTTTCTTGTTTTAAATTTGAGGCAAATTATTATTATAGAGTACCTGCCCATAACTCACCAAATTTCCATAAAGATGCATTTAAAAAAAAACATAATAAATCATTATTATCTAAAAATTAAGGATGTTAGATGTAGCGTAATTGAATAGTTGGGTAAGCGCACAAAATGTTATCAGTTACATGACTATTTAATAGAACTCAGGGACAGGGAAAGCAGCCAATGCGCTCCCAGCCCCACTCCCAGGGAGACCCCTTCCAACCTGTGCTGCTGCCTCTCTATTACAGAGGCAGCAGCACAGATGGCAGGTGGAACCAGTCCATGCAGGGAGCCAGTTTAAAAACCAGCTCCCAATGCAGACTGGCTGCCTGTCACCCCTCACTGCTGCCTCTGATACAGAGGATCTCAGACCCCTGTGGACAGGAGCTGCTGCTGTGAAGCAGCCTCTATCCACTGGGAGCTCAGACCTGCTCTGCCCAAGAGAAGTCTGGGCCCACCACAGACAGAGGCTGCTCCATGGGATGTGGAGCAGCTTCTGCCCACAGGGAATGCAGAGCCCCCATAGATAGGGGCTGCTTCATGGAAGCAGCCTCTGACTGCTGTAGACCCTCCAGCCCCCCCACAGCCCCCTGCACTGCTGCTTCTATCCGATTGAGGCAGCAGCGCGGGGGAGCAAGCGGCACCACAGAGCTGGTGCTGGGGAAAACTGACTTTTAAGCTGGCTCCCCCCCAGCACTGGCTCCTGCCTATCCCCCCTCACTGCCTTTGTAGGAGGTAGCAAGAGGGGGCAGACAGGTCTGCAGAGCTGGCACATGTGGGGAGCCTGCTTGAAAGCTGCCCCCCCCCCACACACTGCTGCCTCTCTCAGAAGCAGCAGCATGGGAGTGGAAGGGGACAGGTGGATCCAGTGCTAATGGGGAACTGCTTTTCAAGGGCACTGGCTCCCATTCCCCCCTGCCTTGCTGCCTCTAATAGGGTATGTCTACACTACCCCGCTAGTTCGCACTAGC